AATCTGAACGGGACGATCGACCAAATTAATTCGCACATGTAAAAGTACAGTATTTTATTAACATGATAGAAAAATGTCATTATCTGCTGTTTTATTGCAGTAATTTTCTATACATTCCTTGGTAGAAAATTAATTTCGAATTATCGTACCAGTCTCTCTTACATTATTTATACGCTAAACGGTTTCGTCTATATTTTGCGGCTTAAAAGGCGAACAAACTATAATATTTTTCTTCCTTAAACTTTAAATAGACAATACAAAGCGCTTTTTATCAAGTGAGGAATTGGCGTAGTGTCTAAGGCGACGGATGATTATCCAAAAGATGTCTTCAGTTCAAGTTCGAATCTCACTAGAGAAAATATTAAAAATTATGAAAAAATAATGTAGAAAAATTTTTTTGTCATAGTATTTTATGAGTATTTATGAGGAAGCGCTTATTCTATGAGTAATTATGAAAAATTATGAGAAAATTTAATTGAAGAAGAACCTACGAAACGACAGGATCTGCGCGCAATCTGCAGCCAATCTGCCGTCATAGTCTGTCGACAGGCTCTGCGCGCAATCTGCCGCCAGTCTGTCGTCAGAGTCTGTTCGCAGACCCTGTCAACAGTCTGGCGGCAGATTGGGGGCGCAGATGTCTATGGATCTGTCGACAGATCCTGCTCGGATTCGACAGATCCTGTCGACAGTCTGACGTCAGTCTGCGCGCAGATTGCTTACTGGGAATGATTCTTAGTATATTTCTATAAGGGAAAAGAGAGGAAAAATTATGAAAATCTATATTCAAAATATTATTAAAATATAGAAATATCTAAATATCTAAGTATTTTACATAATATTTATTGTAAACAAAAAATTAATATTTTGTAAATATTTCTATAAATATTGCACATGAAAAAAATAAATATAATTATTTATAATTATTAAATTAATAAAGAAATAAGAAAATCGAAATTTAAATTGGTAATTACCAATTACTACTACAAATATTTATTTTTCGTTTACTATAAATATTGTATAAAATATTTAGTCTGTATTTTAATAATATTTTCAATAAAGATTTTGATACTTTTTCCTTCCCCTTATAGAAATATCATACTAAGAATCATTGATAATTACTTATTTTCAGTATTAAAAATTCTGGATAATAAGTAATTATCAATGATTCTTAGTATGATATTTCTGTAAGGGTCATGTATATAAAATATTTATATTATATTTATATAATATTTTTAAGAAATAATTCGAAATAAATATTTATCATAAATATTGTGTGCTGTCTGAGAAACGCACTACTTTCTGCACATCAAAGAACCGTATTCGTACTTAAGGTTCTTGCACATTCGGAACTCAGGCTACAATTTTTCGGCAGCCGCTTGGATTGGGATGCTAAAAGTTACAAGCAGTTGCATGATTCTGCTTGCAACTTAAATTAAAGAACGGTCAAGATGTACACAGTCTGTAGCTTGATGTGCGCAACTGGATATACAGAACGATTAAATTATGCATTGGATGTATCGGATTGTATCTGTTGCGAATAAAAGAACGCACCCTAGCGTGCGTTCGAAAACTCTATCCGGGTGCACTCGCTACGTTGGAGTGAGAAAGATACAGGAGTGAGATAGGCCCGATCTACAATAGATGGAGCAAGGAGTAGGAGTAAGAAATAAGCAGTAAGTAAACAAACCAATCACAATCGATTATTCTTGAAACGCGAGAATAGAATTGGTCAATTTGCTTAAGGGACGTCTACATTGGAAGTAAATAGCAAGAAGTAGTAAGTAAGAGTAAGAAATTGAGCAACCACAGTCGAATGTGAGAAGAATAATTAACTATGATTGGTCAATTTCTTATTCTTACTTCCTACTTCTTACTGTTTACTTCCAATGTAGACGTCCCTTTAGTAGCGTGCTCCCCGAACGCACTCTTGTATTCTTACATCATGGTGACGGGTACACGATACTCTATGAGTGCAACGTCTTTAATCGCATATTTTTAGTACATGACAGCTGGCGACACGTTGGCTTTTATGTAAATGTATAATTTTGATACTATGAATAAATTTACTCACATATAATTATTGATGTTCGACACGTTGACTTGTGGATACCATTGAACCGGTTTTGCGTTATCTCGATTTGTTTCTTTCAACGAAAGGTACAACACACTTTATTTATTTATCTTTCGCTATTGTTAACTGAAAATGAGGCAAACTAGTTCCGTATTAACAAGATACATTGCGAAGCAATTGAGTTATGAATTATGCTTTTCTTAAGGTAAACAGTCTTATCGTTAAAAGAACTATCATATACGAAATATCATAATTTCAAAAAATGAGAAATGCGTCTTTTTATCCAGAGACTATTATCTTAAACCTGTTTAAGTTTTAGATATACAATTAGTAAAATATGAGGATTGTACAATTCAGAAGAAGCCGTCTTTTCCATGTACTAATTGGTGGTATATTGGTGCTGCTGGTTTTATATATCCTTTTTAACTTCTCCTCAGACAATCATATGAACAATATAAAAGAATACTGGGCACAAGGTCTCAGGAAGAAACAGGTAAAATATAGTCTAATTACTAGTTGTGGATTTTTAGTCAAATGCAATTTCTTGTATTTTATTTCAATTTATAATTTATTATACACAGGCTACAGTTCTTGTAGAAGATTTAGGAAATTTTGAGCCACGTGATTTATCAATTAAAACTGGGCCTGGGGAAGGAGGTAAACCACATATTTTAAGAGAAGATCAGCAAAATGATGTCCAGCAATCTGAATCTGATTATGGTATGAACATGATATGTTCTGATGAAATTTCAATGTCGAGATCAATACCAGACACTAGGCCAGCAGAGTAAGTCTTTTATTGTGGTTAATAGTATAAATTCTTAGTCTATAGTTTAATCATTATTTTTCTTATGTAATTCAGATGTAAGCACTGGAACTATCCAGAGGAATTACCACGCACTAGTGTTATTATAGTATTTCACAATGAGGGATGGTCTGTTTTATTGCGAACTATACATAGTGTCATAAACCGTACTCCATCAAAGTTTTTAGAAGAAGTTCTTCTTGTTGATGATTTTTCTGATAAAGGTATGCTCAGGATAAAATGTGTTAATTAAATGATTCTTTAATCCATTACTTTTTTTTCACAATTATTTGTATTACAATGTATTCGAAATTTTATTAATAAAAACTATCCATCATTATAATTTTTTTCATAGAAAATTTAAAAAGTGACTTAGATTCTTACATTGAACAATGGGGAGGTAAAGTTAGATTACTAAGAAACTATGAAAGACAAGGCTTAATACGAACGCGTTCTCGAGGAGCGCGTGAAGCCAAGGGTGAAGTAATAGTATTTTTAGATGCTCATTGCGAAGTCAATGTAAATTGGTTACCTCCACTTCTAGCACCAATTGCTGAAAATAGGTAATTCAACATTATCTTACATTGAAAAACTAATAAACATGATGTGTTGTATTTTATTATATAAAAATGCATGAATTGTAATATAATCAAGAATAAGGCATAATAATAAAATTCTTAATTCTTTTGATACAAATTTAGGTAATAAGTAACTTTAGATAGACAGAAATGCTGAACATATATACAAATATTAAATGTATACTTTGTAATATTATTGTAGCAGCACAACATGTTTAAAATATATTATTTTAAGAAATACAATTTTATTATGCTATACTTTGATATATTTTATTATACTATACTTTGAAAATGTTTACTTCTAATTACTGCAGTAATTTCTGATTAATTGCGTTTTTTATCAGCAAATAAGCAAAATTTTTATTGCAGCAGAACAGTGCTACAATGTTGACACAACTTTCATGGAATCTCTCTTCCCTCTTTCTTCCTCTCCCTCTCTTTCCCTCCCCTCTCTCTCTCTCACAGATTCTTCTTTTATATACTGCCAAAATTCTTGTTTTTTGAGAATATATCTTTCCGCACTTGTGCTACAATTTTTTTAATTCAATCATTATTTAGATAATATACTAAATATGTATATCTGAAATCATTGCTTCTCAGTCTAATTACATTGCTGTTTTCAGAAACGTAATGACAGTTCCTGTGATAGATGGCATTGATCATAAGACTTTTGAGTATCGTCCTGTATATCAAGAAGGACATTTATATAGAGGGATTTTTGAGTGGGGCATGTTATACAAAGAGAACGAGTTACCTAGGCGTGAAACAAAAACACGCTCACACGATAGCATGCCATACAGGTGCGATTTCTGTTTCGAACTTGATACAGCTTTATTATTATTCAACTCAACATTTCTAATCCATTAATTTCTATTAGTATCTCATTTACCATATTTATAGGTCACCTACACACGCTGGTGGTTTGTTCGCGATAAATCGACAATACTTTTTATCTCTGGGCGGGTACGACGAAGGATTGCTCGTTTGGGGTGGAGAGAATTTCGAACTGTCGTTCAAGATTTGGCAATGTGGCGGCGCTATTTTATGGGTACCGTGCTCGCATGTTGGTCACGTTTATCGGGGATTTATGCCTTACACGTTTGGTAAACTCGCTCAAAAGAAGAAAGGACCCTTGATAACTATCGTGAGCATAGTATATTGTATTTATACCTGTATATACACAATATCAGGGTTGGGAAGTAACACGTTACTTGTAACGACGTTACTATTTCGTTACTTTTTTTGGTAACGATTTGATAACACCGTTACTTTTTTGTATCAGTAACGAAAAAGTAACGGCGTTACATTTTCTTTAGTAACGAGTAACGAAATTCATCGTTACTTGTATCGTTACTTTTTTACTATAATGGCTTCTGTACACAGAACGCGGCAACGCTTGCCACGCGACGAAAATTTGTACACGATAAACAATTAATGTGCTGCTTTCCGTAAAGCCCATACTACAATAAACAATAAATCTTAAGTCATAATAAAATTGACCAATCATATTAGAAGAATAATCCACTGTAATTGGTCAATTTTATTGCTTATTGTAGAAAGTCTCTAAAGCGTGGTCTACAATGAGAACTTAAGCCATAAAATTTAAGCTTTAATCTCTAAGCCGTAAGAAATTATTTTTTTTACAATTAACTGTGATTGGTCAACTTCTTACGGCTTAGGACTTAAAGTTTAAATTTTATGGCTTAAGTTCTCATTGTAGACCACGCTTAAGGAACGCCGCACACGAATTGACATAACAGTAATGTAAGACGTACTGTAAAAATGGACCACTTACAATCGAGTATTCACAAAAATGGCGAGCTTACGGTTCGACGATATTTAAAGTGATTGGTCAATTCTTACAATATCAATTCGTGTGCGGCGCTCCTAAAGCCCATTCTACATTAGTCGCAATCGCAAAATCGCAAGGAAATTGACCAATCATAATTGATTATTCTTCGATCGCAAGAAGAACAATCGATGATTAGTTAATTTCTTTGCGACCTTTCCTTGCGATTTGCGACTAATGTATAATGGGCTTTATGTCGTTATGCAAGAATGTGTGTTTCCCGTTTAAATATCTTATATTTTGTCTTCATATATGTATAATTTATGTATTGTCTCTTTTACTATTTGTTTTATAAGCCGATTTTAACTTTTTTTTTTACAAAAGTAATGGAAAGTAACGATTTTTTTATCGTTACTTTTCAAATAATGGTAACGCGTTACTTTTTAGAATCAGTAACGGTAACGAGTTACTTTTTATCGCAAGTAACGGTAACGCGTTACTTTTAAAAATTAACGTTCCCAACCCTGCACAATATATATATATATATATATATACACACACACCTACAGGGTATCCCACAACTGGTAGAACACCCGTTAGGGGTAGGTAAGGAGTGAAATTTGGAACTGAAAGTTCCTCTTCCATTTTTGGATCCGACAATTAGTTAACGAGATATTAATTAAGTCTGCCAATCCCTTAGCGCCCCGAGTAAGGACCGTAGGAAGCCGTAGGCACCTCAAGGGCCCTGCTTGTCCGTTTTTCTCTCCTTTTTGTACACAGATGCTAAAATCATTCACGGTATTCAACTACTGACATACAGAAAACATTCAAGTCACCCACATACTCAAAAGAAGCATACCACATATGCCCTCCCCTTCCGGCACATGAAGCGCAATTATTCCGCCCACTCGCACTAAAAATATTCAAATTATCTATACACTCATAACTAAAAACACCCCCACCCACTGAAAACTTGCCACTCCCTAGTCTCACAAGGAGATGCCACAACCTACTAAATCGATTTCTGAACGAGACATAGCACGTTCGCTAGCTGCGATGTTAAGCATCAACACCCTAATTGGGATTTGTGCCAATGGGTCTTTGTTTATGAGAAATTACAATATAAAGTTTAGATTGCGAGACTATCACGGATATGGCTAAAAATGCGATTGTCTTTCAGCGAGGTGGTGTAGCCGAGCAGATTGAGGCTCCCACGTCGAAAATTTTTGAGCCGGCAACGAGCGTTCTAAACCCGGCGACGAGTTATCCTTGTGTGGTGTTCTTTTTTTTCTTACTTTAGGGCATGTAATTAATGTTTTTCGAATATGATACATTTGTTTTGCATATGTCTCGTTTTTATCTAATCAGAGGTAATTAGAAAAGTGTCAGGCTTGTTTAACGCAAACACGAATATAGACATGTATTTTGCATTACTTACGATGCAATATATATTTTAGTACATATTAAAACGTCATGTTTTCTGTTGTATTTAATAAGTTTTTTAGTTCTTGTAGAGAGGAGAGGACAAACATACAATCAAACATACAAGATATTCCGCGCCGAGAAATATAAGTAAACATATAACTTGAAAATAATATCGTTAAAATGTACAGCAATCTACTTGTCGTAGAATGTTTACTTTTATAGGCAGGTTAAAAATATGATCACGAAAATATACAACTATCTTGATTTATTTACAGACGATGAAAGTATACATTTGGACATTCGAGATGATGCTATATGCATACAATCATTTTCTTATTATTTATCATCAGCATCAATAACGTTTTAATATGTACTAAAATATATATTTCATTGTAAGCAATGCAAAATACGTGTCTATATTCGTGTTTGCGTTAAACAAGCCTGACACTTCTCTAATTACCTCTGATTAATAGATAAAAACGAGACATATGCAAAACAAATGTATCATATTCGAAAAACATTAATTACATACCCTAAGGTAAGAAAAAAAAAACACTGCACAAGGATAACTCGTCGCCGGGTTTTGAACGCTCGCTGGCGGCTCAAAAATTTTCAACGTGGAAGTCTCAGTCTGCTCGACCACGCCACCTCGCTGAAAGACAGTCGCATTTTTAGCCATATCCGTGATATAGTCTCGCAATCCAAACTTTATATTGTAATTTCTCATTAACAAAGGCCCATTGGCACAAATCTCAATTAGGGTGTTGATGCTTAATATCGCAACTAGCGAACGTGCTATGTCTCGTTCAGAAATCGATTTAGCAGGTTGTGGCATCTCCTTGTCAGTCAGGCACCCACTCACAAACCCACTCACTCACCCATCCATATTTATTCCCTTGTGATATAAAAAAGGGGAGAAAAACAAGCAAACAGAACTCATGAGGAGTCTACGGTGTCCTACGGCCCTAAGCGTTCACACGGGGCGCTAAGGGATTAACAGACTTAATTAATATTTCGTTAACTGTCGGATCCAAAAATGGAAGAGAAACTTTTAGTTCTAAATTTCACCCTTTACCTACCTCTAACGGGTGTTCTATTAGTTGTGAGACACTCTGTATACAGGGTAGTACACCAGTAGTGTCCCGCCACTACCGCATTATCTCTTAAAGACGGATTCCTGAAGTAATTTGAAGAAAAAAATCCTAATGCAAAAATATCGAGGCTCTAATACTTTTCAAATTATAAACGATTAAAGTTGACCAATTATATTGGCTAAAGTACGCACGATCAGGTACGGTACAACACACAATAATACAGGTACATGCACATAAGTGAGAATTTGCATAAGATATGAAATTAGTTGTAAATCCTTGAAAGAAACATCAAATGTGTGAGCTTACTGATTTTCATAAATGTATTGTGATATTTTATTTATAACATTTTGACGAAATTCTTATTATTTGCGATATGTTTATTTAAATGATAGAAAAGACAGTTTATTATTACATATATTGTTATATGTATAGAACTTCCGTATCAATATTTGGAAAAGGGACGACATGTGCATGCACCTGTACCACTGTATGTTGTACCGTACCTGAGCGCGCGTACTTTAGCCACTATAATTTGTCAACTTTAATCGTTTATAATTTGAAAAGTATTATAGCCTCGTCATTTTTGTATTAGGATTTTCTTTTTCAAATTACTTCAGGAATTCCCATCCTTAAGAGATAATGCGGTAATGACGGGACATCCTTTATATATTGCGACGGTTTTTCAAGACGCCGTTCATCCGCCGGCAAATTTCCGCCGGCTCCCGATACACGAGCTCTCGAACGCGAGAGGTTGGGCGCCAGGTGCGGAAACGGCCGCACCACCACACAAAGAAGGATCGCGAGAGAAAGTCAACCCTATCGGAAACCACCGATAGGCAAGTCGTGTTTGGAGCCGTACGGGACCGGTAGCTCCAGGGAATTTTGGAGTCGGAGACGGGATGGGTTCGTCGGAAACGGGGGGA